ATATTGAGACTCGAATATTTCACCTGAAGGTGAGGGTGAGGGTCAGATGTTCGAGTCTCAATATCTCAAGGCAGGAAAATTCATTAGGATCGAATTTTTTCCCATCGTACTACTATGACCATGGGCTACCAGTGTGGGAAGTCAAAATTCGAAAGTTGGATTTTGCTCGAAATCCAAGCTCTATAGGCAAAAACTGACTAAAAATTCAATATCTCAGCAACAAAGCACCATGGGGATGAACCAACTTAGGATATTTCACTACTCACTGAGGTCTACAAGATACAAGTAGTCCGAGTCCAAAAGCGATTTATAACCTCAAGAGATTCGCTCGTAAGTTAAAGTTGATGAAAAGTGAGAATTGAGCATTATTATTTTTAGAGTGTATGTATATCGTGCTCTGATCGTGTAGATGTGTTAGTAATAAATGAAAATTAATATTTTTTGAAAAGAAGAAAGAATCTACAAAAATTAAAATTGATCCCCAACCTAATATCTACTATATTGTGATATTGTGTTAATCATAATTATGAATGAAATCTTACGATATGAGATTTTCTTCTCAAGGTAGAAGAATTTAATGGATGGCAAACGCTAACATGCCATTTGAATTCCTATAATTAGTCGGTCGCGTTGAAACTAGCGACAAAATAAATTATTAAAATGAATACTTACATCCACCCTTAATTTTGAATCACCCGCTGATGGTGGTGAATGACCACGTTTTCCATTTGTACCATTTTCTAAATTTTTAAACATTGCCATACGTTCTTTGGCTACACCACTTGATACTAAATCGTTGTCAATTTCAACTGTTCGTTTTACCTTTGAACAACAACAAATTACATCAGAAAAATTAATAAAATATATTATGTTAACTTCAAATATTTGATGTTGTTGCGGTTATGTACAATAAGAAAAAAGTAGTTGCTTGCAAAATTTCATTAAATGTAATTTTTTGTTAAAAAAGTCAAGGTAAAAGAACTGAAGGTTATTTGAATGTTTAAGGGTACCCCGCCCCCCTCACGCTTTTTTCACCGTCTTGGCAAACGTAGAAGCAAAGGTCCGATTGAGTTCGAATTTTGACCAGTGACAGAACAAGGAGATTTGATGCATTTTTGCTCAGACTATCGGACAAAATTTTTGGTATGATTTTCTAGAGACAAGGTTTTTAATCTGGTCACATTGGGACCTCCCCCCCAAAAAATTTTTTTTCTGATCGGGCTGCAATTTCATCACAGATAACTGAGAGAATAGCAGAGACAAGAAATTTATTTTTTTTCGTTTTTGACTTTTCCTTCTCGCTTTACGAAAAATTGGAAACGGTTCTTCGGAAAACTAAAGCATTTGATTTTAAAAACCCTGCAACAAAACCGATAAAAAAATGGAGACCTAAGATATTTCTCTTGTATTCGTGGTGAAATTTTCGACCGGATCGGATAAAATTTTTGTGGGATCGTAATGTAACCAGGCTAGGCAGATTAGTGAAAAAACACATTTTGTATGAAAGTCACTTTCTTCGGGGTGTTTGCGTCGATGCTTATATCTCTACGGAATAAGAGTGGGACAGTTTCAGTTCAGTTCTTTTGAACGAAAACTGGTACCAGTTCTTTTCAAAAAATTAAAATTGAAATAAAACCAGTGAACCTACTTACATTGACTTTGTGTAGTGCGTCAGAGGTAGATAGTGTGTTTAGTTGACTAAACAAAGTCCATATAACTAGGTACATCAGTTTTATTTTATTTTGGATCCTTGAAAAGAACTGGTAACAAGTTCCCATTCTTTTAAAAAGAACGAATTCTCGTTTTTTTGAAAAGAATTAGTAACCAACTCCCGTTCAACAGGTTGAACTGGTGACCAGTTCTTAGGAATTGGAACTGTCTCACCTCTACTACGGAAAATAATTGAAAAACTTTCAACGACGTCTCGTTGTGGAGAGAACACTTTCGTATATCAGACTATCTATAACAAAAAATTTTGAATGTACCAGAAAGGTAGGAAAAATTTACGAAAGTAGAAACTTAAGTTTCTTTGGGCTTTTGAACAAAAACTTAAAAAATTCATAACTTTTTCAAGAAGTTCGTGGTACACTGGAAGTGGTCTCATTTTGTAGTCCAGATTTTCTTCTGAATTAGGTTATGCGCAACTCAAAGTCGAAAATTTTTACAAAAAAGAGGAGCCGTTAAACATATGTGGAGTAGTATACTCACCACAAGTAAGACTTCAAGAAGAAAAATATATCTATACATAAGACCAGATATCCGTCGAGAGAAGAAAGAATTCGTATGTCGAGCTAATTATACAAATAACTTCTTTTAGATTATCAAAATCTTTGCTATCTTTACTTACTACTGTATCACTATCTGGATTTTCAAAAACATTTGCGCGTTCTTTGGTCAGTCCACTGGCCACAATGATCTGAGGTGATATTTGTTGATCTTTATCTCTATTTATTGTTGAATCGGTTGTCACTGTTGATAAATACTGTTCTTTAATATTACTGGCTAAACCGGGTTGAACTTCTATTTTTGTTTTATCTGTTGCTTTAAATTCGGATGTGGCCAATGATTCGAATTCTTTTCTCTTCGATGTGGCTGATCCATGTTCTAACGTATCGATATTAATATATTTATCACTCGTCCATTGAATAGTGTCTGACGATATCTTTGACATAAATTCATCACGTTTTGCTTGAGCAATACCGGGCTCAATGGTAGATTTTGCCAGATTTTCACGTTGATTCATCAATGTCAGATCATTGCCAACTTGACCACTTTCAAATTTTTGCTTTTTCTCCGTAGCCATTCCTGATGGTATCTGTTCAACTTGTTGCTTTTGTACGTGTTCATGATCATCAAAATCACCACGTTCAAATTTTGCCTTTTTCTCACTAGCCACACCCGATTGTAAAGGAATGTCGACGGTAGTTGTTGTCTTTTCTACTCGATTTTCTAGATCACCCTTTTCAAATCGTTCGCGTCTTTCACTTGTAGCTCCCGAAAGAAGATCGGTATCAACAACAACTTTTGATACATGTGGTTCAGTCTCTTGTTCAAATTCACCATGTTCAAATTGTTGTTTTTTTGTTGATGTTATACCGCTTTGTACACGAAAATCGAGACGTTTTTCAATTCTAGGCTTCTCTATACCTTTCTCGAATTTGTCTTTAACATCGGCCATATCATGGTAGGGGATCTAAATGAAGACAAAGTATATTCTTTCGCTAGACACTTTTCGTTAGTGTATGAAAGAGCGAACTAAAAGAAATAAATTTAACTATAATAAAATTAAACGAAAATTTTAGCTTTAGTTTATCAGATTTTCCGTGTGTACTCCCAAAAACAGATTAGTTTTTTGACTTTCAGAAAAAATAACGACTTTTTGACATTATACGTAGTTTTTTGAAGGATGATAACTTTGTAATTTAATAAAAATTCATCGACACCGCTTAGCAGTCAATTATGTATACCGTTTTGTTTATATTACTAAAATCGTCAAAAGTATAAAAGCTCTGACAGATTATTCAAACTGATGCTTTAGAAAAGTGTAGAACTAAGAAAACGTATCCTAGAAATGTTTTACATTTCAGTAAATAAGCCAGGTAGTTTTATTTCTGTATGCTAACAGATTTCACCTGATTTTGATCAAATTACAAAATTTTTATCCGTCGATAGAAATTGCTTAAAGTTGCTTGTTTTTCTTCTGAAAAATACTTTTACTACATTTTAGCTATTCGGGAATAAATAGAACAAGATCTTGCTAAATCAGTCCCTGTCTCGCTGTTAGTGTAATTTTTCTTGTGTAAGAGTTATTTGGGAGACGCTGCTAGTGTAGGTAAGTACTGCATTGGAATAAGTAAGAAACAGCCATAGTATTTGTTCAAACAGGCACGATTTAGATTAAATATATTGGTTTGCTCACACACAGAATAGTTTGATACGCGCATGCATATTACACTGAACCGTTTATCTAACGATAAATCACACGTCATCTATCAAAAGCTGTTTTAATGATTGTCTGTGCATCTATGAGACAGAGGGATAAATAGAGCATTAAATATACAACAACTTCGATTGCTTCCAAGATATCCCCCAAACTGTACATTGGATAAATTTACGTCTTACAGAAAGAGAAAATCTACAGAAAATAACATAAAGTGCGGAGGAACAATATCGATTAGACAAACCGTTTGAAAAAAGTTCGGAGCTTCAAAGTTATGAATTCTTGATGAAGCTTCTCAGAAGAGATACAAATCCATGTGTTTCAAATGTGTTTCTTTTAATCAATTAAGAAGTATCTCTTTTGAGAAATAATATTTTGGAAAGAAATTGCGTTTCTCAAAAGAGATGATACATTATCTCTCATTTCTATATTCCAAATAAACATCAAATTAGATATGAGGTAGACACAATCGAGATTATCTTAAGCAGTAATTAGTATTTCCGACATTGACGTCGGTTTTTTGAACAATATCACAGAAGTGCCTCTTTGAGTTTGCTTTCGTATAACATCCATGATATTTTTCTGAAGAATGAGGCAATATTGCTTTGAGCAGTGTTATTTATACACATTTTGAAACAATGAAATTTGAACTGTACAGCATTGAGCCGTTTATGAGACCCTTTTATCTTCAAGGTTAGTAAACTAAGTCGGGTGACAGACTTTTTTTTAAACCAGTTAAAGTACGACAATCTCGATTGCTTCTACCTCATATCTAATTTGATGTTTATTTGAAATATAGAAATGAGAGATAATGTATCATCTCTTTTGAGAAACGCAACTTCTTCCAAGAATATTCTTTTCTCAATAGCGGTACTTCTTAATTGATTAAAAGAGGTACATTGTAAAATATGGATTTGTATCTCTTTTGAGACGTAGCCATTCTTGAGTATGAAGCATTTTTTAAATATTGATTTTAGTAAAAACCTAGCCTCGGCTCGAACTATAGTTGCGAGACAGGATAAAAAACAATAATTTTTTTCAGATGATCTATTTGTACTTACATGTTCTTTGAGATGTTTTTTTTTATTTCGTACAATGGTTCCATCATTTCTATCATCTTCTTCCTCTTCTTCATTCCCATTTTCAATATGACCATTCGAAGCACGCTCTTCAAACCTATGAAGAATCAAAAAAAAGCTCAAAGTTAATATCCAAAAACATTTTTTCAAAATGCCTTTGAAGATATGTTATGAATTTCATACTATTTCAGAGATCGATTCTACTTAAGATTTCAGGATACCCGACATGAAACAAAAGAAAAATCTTGTTGTTTTTCTTTCTTATTTTTGTTTTCTTTTTTTACTTTTCTACTAACCGATGTTGATGTGCGATATTTAAAGTTTTTTCATTCTTATTCTTTTTTTTAATAGTGAATAATAAAGAAGTTAATCTTTTATGTGCAAATCCTATTATAAATATAATAATGAATAGAAATCCAATTGTTAGAGAGAATAGAACAAGACTGGTATATATTTTTAACAGTATGACATCTGTGTCAGTTGATTCTGTATACAATGCATTGAATATATTAATAAAAATCAAGATAGGATAAAAAATAATGAAAAAAAATTCATTTATAGTCGTTTTAAATAAATGTTTTATATAAATAAAAAATGAAAATAAATTAAAATTAAAATGTTCATGATTTTTTAACGATGGTATCAGTATTAAAATTATGATTAAACATAGAACAGAGATAAGACTAAATTTTAATAAAGAGTAAGACATGTATAATATAATGTGATAATCACCCTCATCGACAATGCGAACAAGAAGATGGAGTTAACCGTATAAGCCAAAAATGAAATTAGTCTTTAAAAAGGTGTAATATTAGAATTTTTTTTTTTTTGTTTTGTCATGATGCATTTAAAAAATGAAATTTATATTTTTTTTTTCATGTTCTTTTCTTTTTTCTAAAGAACAAAAACATAAATTCCAAAAGGCAGAAGCAAAATGTCAGATGAAAAAATAATAAAACAAAAGTTGTTCTGTTAACTATTTATTTTTCTTTTAAACATTTACAAACAGTTCGATGACAAAGAAGAAGAAAAACTCTTGAAAATACATCAATTTTTCACTTCTATACATTATTCAAAAAAATAAAATATCGAATAAATAAAAATCAATTGATGAAGGTTAATGATACTATAATGGTATATTTTGAAAAGAGTTCACAAATCATTTCCATTTGGTGCTACATAATATTTCACTTCACATACTAAATCAACGAAATATCTAACATTTTCTAGTAGTCGGCAAAAACAACAATAACTTAATTTACGATCATTCATTGTTTAAAATTATGAATAAAATAAAATAATGAAAAATTGTCCTTGTGAAATTTCTTATAAGTTTTAGATCTTAATTTGATTAATAAAAATATCACAAGAACTTGAAGAAAAAATCAAGAAGCTAAGATTTCGAGCTTGAATGAATTCTAGTCAAGATATTTTCAAGGTTCTGACAAAAAAGTTCTTTAAGACCTTGGGAGGAAATGTTGTTTTTTTTTTGTTAATTTTCTTTTAACAACTATAGACATCTGATGTATAATCGTAAGCTCGTACTTGAAAAACTACATCAGAAAAAGAAAAAAATTCGAAATTGAAAACTTTTTACACATATCTGCAAATAAGTGTACAAAATCAAACGATTACTCAATAATTTTCAAGATGTTGTTAGCAAGAAATTCCATTCTTGTGGTACTATGTGGTGAATTGGTACAAAAACAAGAAGCGTCTTTTATGTAAACAAAATGCTTAATACGATATTCTGAAGACCATCTCATTCTATGTAATCATGGTTAGGAACTGAACATATTGAATGTACTGATATATATCATGTGTAGTCGAACGAGCGAACTCCTTAAATGTTCGTTCACTCGTTGTTTTCTTGAAACCTATTTAGTCAAAGGTTACTTTTGATACGTTATCTATTTTGACCGATGCAACTTCTTCAGATGCGTCTCTTTTTCTTTTTTATTTCGCTTTTATTGTGACACTCTGGAGTGCTTGCAAATAAACAATAGAAAAAGGGTATAACATATTCTTTAACAGCTGATATACAGAAAAAACAAAGGAGGAAATAGCTTTGTACATTGAAGACAACATAGTGAGGATTTACTTGCCTTTTTTGGAGACACAATTGAAAGAGAAGAGGTTAAACAAACAGAGGACAAAAATCTAGAAACAGAAGAGGTGTTTTTATACATTAAAGAGTGAACTGGAAAAGTTACTTGATATTTGCGGCTACAACTAAAAAATGAGGATCGCACAGAACAGTGCAGCGGAGGACAAATAATTACAATGGAACAGAGTCAACAAATTTAAACTATCACAAGGTCAAAGATTTGTGTCTCTCTAACATCTTTTTCACATGGTTTAACTGAAAAACTTTTTCCATTTTCATCTTTTTTATTTTTTAAATTCAACATACTCTAGTGAATGCACTGGCGAGCGGGTACTTGTTTGCTTGCAAATTTTTGCTGGTACTTAACAAATACTTGATATGAATTATAGGAACTTCGCAAGTATTTTCCAAAAATACTACTTGATAAGTGCTTGAGCAAGTATTTTCGGAAATTGCAAGTAAACAAATACTTGAGATGTATTTCCTGTACTTAGGCAAGTACTTGGGTTTTTTAGAGCAGCATCAAGTACTTTCAAACATAATGGTGTGTGCTCGGCACAAGATTGACGACTAACATTCGTCGCTCAGAATTCGTATTCTCTAAAAAAAGGGTTACTATCAAACCTTTAGCTTTTCGTGTTGTTGCAATAAATCTTTTATGAAATACGGTTTCGTAGGCTGTTGCTGAAATAGAGGTAGCGTACGAAACCCGAAGAATAACTTCTTTCTGAAAAGATTCCGGGCTGCTTTTACTAAAACATCAAAAAGGTTTAGCAGGAAAAAATTTTTTATAACAAGTTTTATTTTTTTCAAAGTGACTGTACATTTATCTTTCGAAACACTAAGTGACTCTTGTAGTCGAATGGTGAATCCCAGATATCATACGAAACCTAAAGAGTGTAGAAATGGTTGGAATTCTCTATATTGTTTTAGGTTTTATAGTAAATCTTTTATTTGGAGAGTATTGATCAGATGTGATCGAGTTCATCTGATAATCGTTGGGCAAATGGAAATAACACGAACGATCACACTCCTTACACAGTCATGTTTATATGAGTAACGTTTTATGAGCACATTCATCAGAATTGTTTCTTACGCACTCGCTATGTTAAAATAAAAATAAAAACAACAGAATAAACATTATTCAATTAACACACACATATTATTTGTCATGTACTTCCAAAGTACTTCAAGTACTTGTAGAATTTATTCAAGAGTAGCACTTGTCAGGTACATTATTTACTTATCAAACTTCCCTCAAGCACTGGTGGGTTACTTAGGCAAGTACTTGACAAGCAGATCAAGTAGTTCAAATACTTGATTTACTTGCGAAAACAGCCAAGAATGTTGGACAAAACTTGTGAGGGTACTTGGGAAAGTGCATCCGCTAGGGTAGCTTTTCGAAGTTAAACATATTGGTATAAAACATGGAACGGCTCAAGTCTGTACCGTACAATCTTTCAAAACGTTTTTAAATGTACTTTTTCACATAAAAATTTAGATCATTCTCCCTTGTAAAGGTGTATAGTACATGAGCAGGCATAAAGGTACAAGGATGAACCATGCGCATTCCTACTCAACATTGGCGATAAAACGATTCTTGATGTGTCACAGACAAAAATCCACACAAAAAATGGAAAAGAATAGGTAAAAAACCACTTTCTTAACATGGTAGTAGAATTTTTTCGAGGCAGTCAATCACAATCCTCATCAAAGATACTTTGTCTGTCAGGGTAAATCCAAAATATTTCAATGATTATACTATCTCAATTGTATGGCCTCTTATAAAAACGTTGACTGATGATAACATCACTTGCGAATGGAAGACCTGTGCAACGGTTTTAGAGAAGTTTATTGGCTGTTCTTATTTTTTGGAATACACAACCAATCGACTGCAAACGTTTGTATCATCGATTTAAAGAAATTCTAACATTGGAGAGAGCCTGTGACTTATCACTGAATTTACTAGGGCATTCGCTATCGAAATAGAGATTCTGAACACAGTTATCGTAGACGTTTCATAACTCTCAGAGCCGATTAGAGTAATCAGCGTTTACTGGTCGCAGAGTCATCGATGTAGTTTTGACGACCTTCGCCCTCTTCTTATTAAAAGTACATTTTAGCAGGAGATTTCAGCGCCACGTCCTTAGAATGAGTAGCCCGAAAAGAGATAAGAGATGGGTTCAATTGTTAAAGAATGGGTAGAGAATAATAATTTACTTTTTATCGAAAACACAAATAATTCGTCGAAAATCTGATATACTGATTTCTGATGATCCACTCTAAGTTCCATTATGAACAAATTCTGATTCACCCAGATTCTAGAGCTGACGGTTCTTGCAGACGTAGAACTCTGCAACATAATAGATTAGCTGACCACTTCGAAGATGCCTACATATGTTTTCGTATGCACGTCAAGATAGACAAAACCAAACGAAAGTAAAAAATAAAAGAGGAAAAAATTCGACAAGAACTAACAGTTTGCTAATGCGAGAAAAAAAGATGATATTTAATCGAAGTTGGAATCGGTTTTTCCACCTTAATCAGCTGTTGCTGTCTGAACTACTACGTTTTCTCTAGAGAGAATTTAGTTTATCTGTTCAGATCTAAAAACAGCTTACTTATATTATATAAACATTTAAAGAGATTATGGGTCTATAGACAATTTTATCTTAACTACCGATGAAGATATGTTAACATATTGAAACGTTTAGTGAATAAATTTAATCAAATATGAACAAAAAGTTCATGAGCTATTGATTAATTTTCAATTTCGTATACTATAACAGTGTTAATTGCGAAAAACAGATATCTGAAATGTAAGCAAGAATATGCGTGTTTTCCGATCGGATCGTGAAATAAAGATTCCTGAATCTTTTTCTTTTGATCAGGACAATATTATCAGATTCATCTTCTTATCCATTTTCAGCCTTCATACTATTAGCTTAAAATATATCAGAACTAAAAGTGAGACCACGATCAGTTCCATCCTAATCTATTCTTTATTTCTTGTATGGTTGCATCAGTCGAATATAAATGTTTTGTATTTTTCATTTCGAAAGAAAGAGAAGAATGACAATAAAAAAAAAAGAAGCTGAAAGAATACAAATTGTTATTAATTTGCTGTGGGAACTGACCGTGGGTTTGACCTTACTATTATTATTACATAATTACAATCTATCACAGAATATGAGACATTTAGCATAAACACTACAATACTGCCTCTATAAAGTCAATCTATTCTAAACTTGGTATATCATGATAGTTGTACATTCGAGATAATTTATCACACGACCCATAGTAAATACAAACAGATGCTTCATTCTAACAGATACATAGAAAATTGACAGAATAAAATATTTTTCTTTCATTTGATCTTGAATCTGATTAGAAACAGGAAAAACAAAGAGAGAATCTTGAACTATTATCTAATCAAGAACAGATTTTGATTTCCTAAACAAGTAAACTGAAGGTCTTAATACTATAAATTATTATAGACTTAACTTTGTATTGTAGGAATTTAGAAGAGATGAATCGAATTGATGTCTTTCGAACTATATCACAGTCTAATCAGCGAATTTCTATTAGACACTATTAATCGATACAAAAATAGATCTTATATATCGATCACACGGACTCACTCTGCGTCTACATTGTTAGTAAAGTTAATCAATGTTTCACTTACAGTCTATCATTTGGTTTAATATCCATCAGTTTCATTTCCGATCTTTATAAAGTATCATCAAAATGGGGAAACTCTAGCGAACAGAAACGTCTTCATGTTATTTTCTTTTTCTTTTTTTTAATTTGTATGTACAGTAGTTACTGGTGCGCAGCAGATTTATACAGTCAAATTGAGCATGTGCCTTGCATTTCATTAGAATATAGCTGTCTGTCTTTCTATAATATAAGTACAGAAACTCTAATGAATAAATATTTTGGTGTATCTTTGTCTCAGAATATATTTACAAAAAATATTATTATTATTACTATTTATACTGCCTTGTCAATACAAGAAAATGAATGATTTAAACTATTACTACATATAATTTATATCTTCTGTACAGGTATAAACACATATATACGTACAAACAACCATATAACAATTAGTGATCAAAAAACAATATCAAATATATTGATCGATTGTATACTAATTGACAAAAAAAATAATAATAATAATAGGTAATTTTACACTATTTTCTACTCATTTTGATTAAAACTGTTAGAAACTTTAAAAATTATCTATAAGATGATTCAAACATGTTTTGGTAAAGATTTTTTCAAAATCATCTTTTTTATCTTTACTACATCTACCCGAGTTTTCTATCGTTAATATTTTATATCCTATATGATTACTGATGTTTTTTATGACTCTGCGGGTATCGATCTATATGATCGAATACTTCATAGAGTCTTGTTTGTCAGAAAAAATAAAAGTGATTGACACTTACTTTTTAAATGTATCCTTCAATTTTTCCGATGGTGGTTGTCGTTCAATTTTTTGTAATTCTGGTACATCATTTTCATCATCTGGTTTATTGAACATTTTTGTTATATTTCTCAATCTTTCCAATGTATCACCTGGCTCAGCTGCTAAAATGAGAAGAAGAGAAATGAATGATAAGTAAAAAATATTCGTATTATATTACAAAAAATAAAACATCTTATCTTATTTTTTTCATAGTTAATAATCAGACAAAACAAGTGTAGAAGAAAGGCTATTGTGATGAGTAACATAGAAAACATAAAAATAAGTACAAAATATCTGACATTGTTTTTTTATTACTCACGGATAAGGCTTTAATTTGTAGAATGCTCAAATCAATTTTGCTTTATTAATAGAAAATAGTCTGATAATATGTAGAAGTAATTTGACGGTATTTATTAACACTGAAGTAAAATCAAATGACTGACTAAAAGTTGGTCGAATTATTTGAGAATAAAGAACATATAGTTGATCAAACTGAACTAACACACTTCTATCTTATTTTGTATCGGGAGAAGGAGAAACTTTAATTTACTCCTCTCGCAGTTCCCTGTCTTAGTTTGCAGAAGCAAGCGTTTTCTTTTTATGATATATTACTTTTATCATCTTATATCTCTCAGTGACCAATCGAAAAAAAGTGTTGGATATGAAATCGGTGAACGAGTCTCTTACATACGAGAAGTCATTCGTTCTTTAGCTTGTTCAATTTCTACATGGTCTACATTATTTTCGTTTCATATTTTTGAATTTATCTTTTAAAAATATTCTCAGTATTTCATGCACATTTCTACAGATTTTCTCATATTTGACATACATACATTCATCTGCTGAAACTTCAATATCCATCATGATTTAAATTAATTAATTATAAAATAGAAATTAATATACCAAATTGATCAATGTAGGTTTAACCTCGAATACTCTATTTTCTAAGATATATATTCAATGTCAAATCGTTTTTAGGATTATTTACTAGTAGGTGATTATAGTGTAAACGATGAGACGACTGCAATTTAATAAGTGATGATATTATGTACTTGTGATGTACTGTTCGCGTTGAATACACACGTAGAAACTAGTTGATTTTCCAGAATATCATCCATTTTCTTATTCTATCTTTTTTGCTCTTTCTTCAAATATCATTCTCACTATTAAGACAAAAAAAAAAATCCCTCTTCTTTTCTTTTTTTTTCTCCTAAATGTACGTATAAAAACGTCTAAACACATCATATTTTTTAGTAAACAACATGCAATGAACGTAATACATATACACGTTACTGCGTCCATTATGTGACCTAATTTTACATGAATACTGTTTTTAAGAGAATGTTTCTTCTTATTCTTCTCTTGTTGTAAAAATTGTACATATACTACGGCTAGTCGAATAGTTAATGGAACTCAGAAGAAAAATTATCAGCCATATCTTCATCTTTTCTTCTTCTTCTTGATTTGATTTTTATCATAAGAAGAAGAAGGAGAAGAAGAAGAAGAAGAAGAAAAATATATACAATAGGTCAAATTGCTGTATAAATCACATTTATTATAAAAGATAAATCTTTTCTTATAATAGATGAAATATTATATTTAACAAAACGGAACAAAAGATTTTCCGTTACATATAGTTTGAGGTCAACAATTTAGATAATTTCTTTTCTATGTTCGTTCGATATCAACAACACAAACAGGCAAAAAACATACGATGTATTTATAATTCTATTAAAGAACAATTATTATCAAATCTTTTTGCTTAAATATCAAACTTAACATTTCTCTATCAACTTGTCAAATGTAGGGGAGACGTACATGTATTAAAAAACTAAAAATAGAAAAACTGATAATCATTTACTATTTTCCATAGTTTTCAATTTCAATGTATCTTTACGAATTTTTTATGAATCTTCCGTAATCGATTCTATTTCGTCATAAATTTTTTGTAAAATTTTTTGAAAATAATCAAGTTGACGACAGATATTATTGTTGTTAATTCTTAAAATTTGACACTATATCAACATAAAACTTATTTTTTCACTTGTTAAAAATAGAATAATTATGTTCCAATGATTATAGTATATCAATAGAGCTTGTATTATAAGACTCTGTCAATGGCAGCTGTAGTATTATCTATCGATGTAGATAAAGTAGGTTGAGAGGGGGAGAGGGAAGAAAATAAAAATGACATTTCATAGTCGACCACCTACAAGATAAATTATGTTTGTAAGAGAAAATGAAAAGAAAAAAAAAAATTATTATTCTATTAAGATTAACTATGTATAGTAGATAAAATTTAAAATACGGACGATACGAATTTCACATGTTATTTTTTATCAAACAACACAAAGGAATACTAATGAATTCTTTTAATGAAACAAGTACAGTACAGATTTTCTCGAAAAACGAATAGGACATGATACTAAAGTATCATATTGATATCTAACGAAAATACATTAGTAAGATACAAATAGAAAATATGCAATATAATTTCTATTTATTTCATAACTCTTGAAACTATCTGATCTTTAGATAAATCATAGATTTAATCAAACATCTTACTCGTTCACTTAAACATAAACATAAAAACAGATCTCAATCATTAGTACAACAAAAAGTCGTCGTTTTCAAATCCACTTTTAGAGTACAACACACTACAATAATTCTAGATTGAACCTACTATAATGTATTATAAAAGAAAAAAGTGTGCTCGTAGATGTATAAATTGCAAATGTGATCATTACTCGAGGATAAAAAAGGATGCAAAATTTTCCAATTTCAGTTATTAATAAACTAGGTGTGTTAAAAAAGTTTTGTTTAGTGCTTGGTTTTGGATCAGTCACTTGTGAAAATGGAACATATGAGACCTCGATATGACTTTCTTAAGCTCGAAAAAGATTACTTTTAAAAAAGTTAACTTAAATCGAAAATCAAAATTTGAAAAAACTTATTTTTTTCAAAATTCTCGTTAGAAATCAAAGTCCAAACATATCTAAGCTTAGATCACCAAGTTTGAGGAAGTTGAGACAGAAAATGAGCTAAGATGATGAGGAAAATCAAGAATGACTAAGAAAACGAGTCCAAAATCCCACCAAAATATGACCTTCAATGTCATGTTCAATAAAAAGCTTTTCCTAAATTACCTAAAAGCTTAAATTTTTTTCAAAATATTCTTCATTTTAAAATTTAAATATTTCGACTAGCATAACACATAAACAAAATATTTCTTACCATTCGATAGCCCATTTCATTCTCTACAATCGATATAAGATTAGGTTTTTTAAAGAATGTTTCCTGAGTTTGTTATTATGATAATGCCAATGTTCATTCAAATGAATATTGGATTTTAAAGTGTTAAACTATCAAAACACAAAATCAACCGTTGCACGAAGCTAGAATCGAACACACGAACTTGATCTTTGCAGATGAACTGCAAAAATCCACTTCGCTGTTCTTTTCTTATTCTGTACAATGATCGAAGTTCTGCAACGACTCAATATTATCCTTCAATATATATTTTTTTTTTGTGATTTTTTGTATTATTTTCTAACGAGGAATCATTCTCAAGTGACCAACTCAGTTTTTCTTCATTCATATGTGGATCGATAGAGTATATTGAAATAGTCAAAAGACTAAAAGAATTTGGGTTCTTATTGTTTCCTGCGAAAGTTATTGAATTTTTTTGTTTTTTTAAAAACTTATTTTGTACACAGGGCACTTTTTTTAGGGCATTTCCAGTGATGCTTATATCTCTACCAAAACTCATCAGAAAATTCTAGAGACGTCTCAGTTTGAAGAAAAGGCTGTCTTCTATCAGACTATGTATAAGAAAATTTTTTTCTTCTATATTCATTCTATACCTAAGTGGGAAAAGATGACGGAATGAGGTCGCTCTTACTATGTTGCTCATATTCTCCGGTTAAGATATTCATAATGAGTAGTTAATTGCCGCATAAAACCAAAACTTATCAATAATTTGGCGTAAGAAGCGGTGAATTCTTAGCACATTTACAAAACAAAGTTACCAAATAATTCGATCTGTTCATTTAAACTAATAACGATAAAAAACCAACACATCAGTACCAATTCCTAATGTTCATTTTAACCTTTAAATTCAAAGATTTGCCATCAGCCAAGAACCCATCTTTTTTCTTACGAAAAAGTACTTTGTACTAGAGGTTATATTACATTCTTTTAACAAGTCTTATTCACACTTTCACGTTGAAAGATTAACTTTTTACAAATCATTTTCAACAAGGGATCTTAAGTACTGTGGCAAATGACAAGAAAAAGTGGTTTGTGCCCTTTTTGACATAGATTTGTTACAATAACTAAATAATAGAACTTTTTCTATATATTAAATATATAGATAGATCAATATGCGATTTAAGATGAATACATACAAGTGAACTTTTTTCTTCTCTTGTAATGTTCTTGTACTTAAGTAAAGGTGAGAATTGATTGTTGCTGTTTGAACTTGATCTATACTTTGTTTGTATAAATTATATTATATTGTACATAAAACTAAATGGTAGTGGGGGCGGTGATAATGATGATAAAAAACAACAAATTGACTTTACACAAATGAAAGATGCAATAACACATAACACGCAATTGTATAACTCAAGAATTAGCTTATAGAACTGAATAAAATTAACTTTGATAATCACCATAGATATCTTATTTAATTCCCAGAAAACCTTTTTTTTGAATTAAAATTCGATTTTATACTTAAAAGATAAAGATTCTAAGTGTTCGTTTGTTCACATTGCAATGCAAAGGAATACTATACTGACTGAAATTATTCAAGTAATAAGAATAGCTGTCATCGTCACCGGGAAGGGCAAAACATTTAAAAAGATATTTAAATAAAAAAGTTTAAACTTAGATCAGCGAACATCTCTAGACATAGAATCTCTCATTTTCCTGAAAAATGTAAGCATCATTCGTAAACACAGCAACAGTATCAACATACTTTTTAAGTCTGGAGTTTCTCTGAATATGTAGAAAATGGAATTCACTACTAGAAATTAAAGGTAATATCATTGAATTCTTTTATTTTATTTTCATCTTATATTAATGTGATGATAGGCATGAGCCGATTTTTATCGGCTTATTTTCCTCGTTTTCGAAATCAGATTGACTAAAAATTACAAATTATTAAAGTTTTTTGACGACTCAGTTTTGTAGAGCAAATATTTTTCTGCAAAATGCAGTATAACACAACTCTTCATCTTTTTTCTTTTTGCTATAATCGCTCGTTTCTCGACGAAAAACCCTAAACCGTTATTAACTGATATCGGTATTAGTACCAGTCATAGGATATTTAACAAACATTTTTTGTCTGAGTATTGACTGATTCATGATGAAAATTGCAGTTAGATCTCATTTTATAGAGAAATATTTGCTCTACAAGATACAATTGTCAAAAAAAAATTTTAGAAGATTATTTTGCGAAGTGAAAAATATTTTTATGAAAAAAAACCTACAGAATTACAACTGGTAAATACCGGTACATCCCTAATTGATATACCTCATCTAATTTTTATTAATTTAATTAATTTAATCGATTCATGTTTTATGAAATTAAATAGTGATATTTGACATTTTCGCATACACACAATCAAAGGATTATGTAAAAGAATTTGATGTCAAAAAAAAAAAAACGAAAAGAAAATTAAATGTATGTGTACATGTTGTATATATGTTTGACATTTTCATAAAATAATCCTCTCTTTCCTTTGTTAAACGGACGAGACACAATATGATATTCGTAAGTTTACCTTGTCGTGTAAATATACACATACATACATATATACATTTTTATATCACCATTATCAATCAATCAAAACATTCATAATTAGAATTGTTTAAATGAATAAAATAATTTAAAAGTAATGAAATAACAAGATTTTAACATAATGAATAAAAATATATCCGTAGAAGTCAAAAGTTTTAAGAGATCATAGAAAAAATCTTTTTTTTTAGAATTTGTTAAAGTATACTGAATCTTTTCATAATGAACATCTCTATGAAGATAAATATAGAAATTTGATGATAAAAGAAGTTGTTTTTCTTATAAAGATATATAACATTAAACGACTTATCCTTAAGAACTTGATAAGATGATACTTACCAAAAATTTGTCTACTTTCATTTTTCATTAATGATGAATTGTTATTCAATAATATATGATTTTCTATAAAACGTCGTTTTTTACATATTGGTTCTTCATTTAATTGTTTGATTATTTCGTTATTAGATGAAGATAATTTATTCATTATCGTATTGTTTTTACATGAATTTAATAATTCATTTAAAACGTTAATTGCTTGTTTAACAGGTACTGATTCTTGTTCTCCACAATCCATTGATATTGATGCATCACTCAATGTTGATAGTTCATCGTCTACTGTTGTTGAAGATGTTGATGCACTTATTGATACTGTTCCATTACGTTGATATCTTAATGATTTCGCTGCTCGTCTTTCTTCTTCACTAGCTGCCTCCGATATTGTATCAAGATAATTTAAACGTCTACAAGTTATTGATGATTTTTTTAAATTGGAAGTTACAGTTGTTGTAGAAACAAATTGAAAATCTTCATCTTCATCATAACCATCTAATAGATCATAACCAGAATCAATATTTCCATTTATACAATCTCCTTCATCTGATAAATCATCATTATCAACATGAATTGAATCAACACTTATTTCATCATTAAAATCCCAATCAATTGTAGATGATTGTTGATAATTATTTTTAGAATAATTTGTTGTTTTTATTGATGTTTGATAATTTCCAATTAAACCTCTTGATGATAATGTTTTTAATGTATCTCGAACATGACTTGATTTTCTTGAATATCTATTACTAACACAATGATCAAGATCATTTTCATCTAATGAATCTTCATCAGCACTTGTTGCATCGTATCTATGTACACCTGCTGTAATTGTTTTATTTCGTTCTAAACTATCTGGTGACAAACTTCGTTCTCGCATTGAAAATGGCAATGATTGAAATCGATCATAAACAATATAATCAGAATTATAATTATTCATTATCGACGTATTACTCGATGTATTCTGATCACTTTTAAAATGATGTAATAAATATTGTTGAAATTCGAACATTTTTTTTTTCTCTGTTTTTTTTTTTCTAAACAGCTGTTGCCTGTTATCTATTTTTTTACTTGAAAAATTCTATTGATCATAATTGATGATGAAACTGTTCAATTTCTTTCAAAACATTTGACTGATACGTTATGAAAATTTCTTTTTTTTTTTTTTTTTTGTTGTATGTTTGAAATGTACCGTGGAATGACTCTATGTAAGAAATGTTTCTTTTCTTCTCTTTCGTTCGTTTCGTCGTATGAGACAATACCTCAGAGAGTTTTTATCGATATAACCCTATATACATATACATATATATAAATTTTCTTTTTGTTTTTACTTGACTGCTGCCAAAAAGTAACAATTGTTTGAAACAAGATAAAGTCAGAAAGAACTAAAAAAAAACGTCCTTTCTATGTTTATTTATTTTGTTCTTTTGCGTTGAGTGCGCTGAATATGGAGATCAGTCATAGATATGATTATTAGTATAGATTGACCGCAAGTTGACAAAAGAATGAACAAGTTATTATTTTATTACAATTTCTAATTTCTTCTGTATAATCAGATATTCTTCTTCTTCTTGTTTTTTGTGTAGTCAATGTACTCTGACATAAAATATTTAATTCGAGAATAACAATAGATTAGAAGAATTATGTAATTGATAAACTATGATGTGTTGTATGTTTCGCTAGTACAATTTATAGAATAACTATATCTAGCTATACTAATGGAGCAGTTCATTGTAAAATGTCTTAATTCATGAATTCTAAAGAAACTGTGAGAAAGAATACGAATTCAAGTTTATATATCAAAAGTACTGCACATTTTCCATGTTTTTTAATCTTCTTTCTCTCCAGAGTGATGATGTAGATCAAATGCAGTTACACTATTAAGGATCATTCAACAAGATTTAGTTCAACAAATTTAGATGAAAGGGTTATGCCATTGAGTGAGTTTTAATCGTATCATTGACAAAAATCTTGTTTTTATTGATCTTATACTAAGTGGAAAGTCAAATTTTACATTAATACATAGTATTTTCATCTATTGAAACTTCCTAAAAGAATCATATTTGTGATTAAAAAGACATGTCGATACAGTTCATGTTTAATGTCCATTATTGAAGAAATAGTGAAATCGTTACTATTCTTCTCTTCAAAATTCTCACACTCTAAAAATTATCTAAAAATATACAGGGTAATATTTCTCTAACTTTATTTTTCTTGCTTACGTTCATAATATGTAGATGGATAAACTAAATTTATCAACCGAAATTAATTTAAATACTACTGAATGCTTTTATTTTCTGAATTAAAAGAGTTATATGCCATTGTCGATCAAGTAACAGTGAATAGAACCCGAAGGCCATTTAAAAACGTCGTTTTTCTATGTGTTCAATATATCTGTGTTTTTATTTGAAAAGAAGCCAACAGAAATAGACGATAATGCATGTTTGTTGTTGTTCTTTTTTTTAATATTTTTCTTAAGACATTTGCAGTCAATATAAAATATGTGTATTGAACTTGAGCCAGAGTGATTCATTGACCAGTATATATTGTTAATAACAGATCGTCTGCATAATCGTTTACGTTAGAACATTCATTAACGAATTTACCATCTTTGACACAATTTAGAAAAAAATCAATAATCACTTAAAACGGTACCGAACAGTACATGGAAGTTACAGGTTATATAAAAATCTTCACTCACTTTTCCATCTAGAAGTCAAACTTATTGTTTTAATTATTTCAGTAAACATAAAGTCAAATGTTACCCTACCGCAATCGAATGTATCCACGACACAATGGCAAAGTTCAACTTCACTTCTGCCGCCCTCTCTAAACATTGAAGCTTATATACTTAATTGATAAGGAGCATATAAAAAACTTATATGAATTTTATCCGAGTCAAGTAAGATTCTTATAAGAGTCATATTAAATTCGTATATACGGCTTTGAGTGAAAGTAAAGAAAATAGCTGTCGAAAATTTGAATATTTCCTAGCTTTGTCAGATCTTAACGGGGAGTCATAAAAAATGGTATGCATAGGTAACTCGATATGCTCTATAAACTGGTCTGACCAGTAATAAATTTCGCTGGAAAATATTTTTGCTGAAAAACACTAGTTTTTCTAGAAAACCGAGTCTCTTAAGCAGTTTGGGGAAAAATGACTATGATATTCGCAATCAGCAGCGTCGGTAACATGTAGTCATATATATTTCGACGAAAAAACGGTGATACACTTGGGACATTTTCCTCGTTAGACACAACCGTAGATTAAGAGAAATAGGTAAGATTTGGATAAGTGAGTTATAAAAATCGTATACGATATTTATACGACTCGTATGAGAATCTCATAAGAATTTTTTCAAAATAATTATGGATTACTTATAAAGTTCTTATAAAATAATTATCGAATTCTTATAAGTCTCGTACGAAATAATTATTACAATCGTGACCGAATCGTATATACGAACTTGATAAGAGTCTTCTAAGAATCGTACCAGAATTTTAAAGAAAAACTTCATCTAGGACGATCCCAATTCTAACTCCGTTTCAACTCCGATAACCCATACACAAAAGAAAATTGTGCATCTAGCTTGCAGCTAGATTTTTAACCCATTTAGCTAGTAGCAAGGTAGATGCAAAATTTTCTTTCATGCGAGCTACGAAGTTGGAGTTTTTCATCGGTGAGTTTTATAATCTCAGAGGTATAGTGATGCACGACGATGTACGTCACCCTCGCCGAAGCTGTATCTCGCACTACTCCGAAACAGTCATCTCACGTCCCTCTCAATATCTCACTTTATTAAAACTATTATGAATCGAACTCTGGCTCAGTTTATCAGTATTAAATGCTTATATTTCTTTTTTATTTAAAAACGAATAAAAAATGGTATCAAAACGACAAGATTAATGAATTCTTTATTGTTATATATATGTAGCATATGACAACAACAAAACGAAAGAATATTTACATTTTTTATATGCTTGATTATCTCTCTTTTATTGTATATATATATATATATGTGTCGTAATACTTTTCTTTCTCTTGTTTAAAGGCTCATTGAACGTTAAAAATGTCAATATTTAAAATAAAGAAAAAATATTTTGTTGCTGTTCTTGAGTCGCTGTCCTTTTTATTCTTTATTGTCGTTTTAGAAAAACAATACTTTAACCTGAACAGGTGTAACATTTATTTAAAAAATCCCATTATGATCATATCTTCACTTGACAATTATGGTCCTTTTAACGAATAATAGAAATCGTACTTGTTTAATAAAGTTTAACTTATGAACTTTACATACTGTTCTATATCTCAGCTTTCAATTTCTTTCAATTATTAATCTATGTACGATTGACTTGTTTTATCTTAGATCTTACCATCTAGTCATTTTACTTAATCTCTGAGATTAAAAAAATGTTTAGAGATTTTTGCGAAGAATAAAGGTTAGTGGTGGGAATCAGCTACACACAACTATCTGAACGATGTAAACTAAAGTCAGATCGGTCTATGCTGGGTACTCCCAACATTCAAACGAAAGTATCATATGAAAAAAGATGCCCACATACGAAGACTTACCGTAGTCAAAAACCGAAATTAAAGATTTGAATCAGATTACAACTTTGAAGATATTAAAATGCATTCATTTTTCACAATCAGTAACTTACGATAGATAAGATATTATATCGTTTTTTTATTCTAAATGCATTTCATAGTGGATTTCACTCAAAATACATCTGTGATATGTAATAATTAGTTAACTTACCGCTGTACTGATTATTCTTCTTGAATAATATCATTTGATCATTAAATCTATCTACTAAATTCCATATGACATTTGTTGTGTATAAATGAGTAATCAACGTTTTATAAAGCCAATCATGTAGAATATGCCATAGGAAACGTATCATTCTTAACAACAACATCTAGATACTCCTCGTTAAACCTCTCTCTATCCTCTCTTACTATTCATATTAAATCTACTTATTATTGTTCGGTAAACAAAAGAACGTTTCGCGTTTATTGACTTTTATGCGGATCATCGTTCATCACAATTAATCCTTTCTCTCTCTCATTTCGACCATGATGATCTATTGAACAGCGTGTGTGTGTGTGTGTTAAATTTAATTGTATTCATTCTACACTCTATAAATTAACTTTTAACATATGTTCCATTATTTATGACTAATATTCAAGCAATATAAATGACTATAATCAGACTGTCTGAGGTTCACGAATCTTATAAGTTTGTCGTAAGAAATGACTAGATTTTACAAGATTCTCTTGAAATTTTGTAAAAATTTTACCGTATTCATCAGATCCTACAGAATTATATGTCTGATCTTTTCTCATGTATCCTTCTATACACCCTTTAAAAACTATCTTTTTCTTTTCATAATATTTTTTAGTATATCTAGGATCTACTACCCCTTAGGAACGTATCTGACCTCATTCCTTAACCATGCGCTTTGTTTGTACTTGGCTGACTTGTGAAGTTAAAGAAAGAAAAATATTTCAAGTTCTATTATCAAAATGAGGCTGTATACAGTAGGTAAAAGAATTATTCATATGACGAAGAAAAAATGTTTCTTATTCAATTATCTCTTCAACGAACAATCGTGGTGAATTCTGGAACTCATTGTCGGACAGGCTCAAGACTAAATCATATACGGTGTAAATATGAGAATAAATGCTGGATTTCAAACTGATTTTCAAAAGTGACAGAGCATTCTAAAGTGACATTTTCCAAAACTCACATAGAATTTTTCATTGTAATTTGATTTTTAGAGCAAAAACTTTGTAATAAAATGAGACATTGACGTGCTCTCTACGATATATGCTTACAGAGTAGTACGTAAGTCACATGTCACTTTTTGCCAAGAAAATAAATGGAAAATGGTGATCAATGACGTAGGAATGGTTGGTGATGATACCGTTTTTAATGAGTTGGATGATAAAAGGAACAATGGTTGGGGGCACTTTCGTTATAGCTGATATTAGTTCGATTTTTGATTGCATCAGTCGCACCGTCTTTCCTTTTATTTCTCACTTTGTTGTCAAAGGTGGGAGCGAAAATCTACTTCAGCCCATATTTATGCCAGGGATAGAACATGGGAGAAGAAAAACGATGTATTTTTTCAAAACTTTGTCTGATCGGATTGAATATTTGATTATAAATACATCGGACGATATCTCAGATCTCAAACTATTTCCCGTTTTTGACTTTTCCTCCTTGATTTTAAAAATTCTTACTAGAGAAGAAAAAGTTGAAAATGAAAAAAAAATATTGCATTCTGGAATATAGTCCCACATATTGGTGGTCACTAATTTTCGGGTTGAGCAGATAAAGTTTCGATCGAATTGTGCTGTACACTAAGTGGGACTATTGGTGTTTTAACACTAGACAAGTACCTTTTTTCAGGACATCTGCGGTGATGCCTCTATCTCCAGGAGAAACTGATGGACCAATTTTGAGAAAGATTTCATTTTGAAGAGAACGCTAGTTCTTATGTTTTTTAACTTTTGCAAAATAGGTCGTGAAAGACTGAGAGCGGTCTTTTTTATGGTCAAGGGTTTAGGTCTTTAAAATTTTTTCCGCAAAGAGAGCGAAGGATATCCTTAAGTTTCTTAAAAAACAACCAACAGAGTCAGACTACAAATGACACCACTAGAAGAAACATGATGCTAATCTTTCAATATTAGTTACTTTTCAAAAATAAAAGTCTACTTCAGCCTTTAATCTTGTGAATATATCTCTATGACAAAAATAGTATTTACCCTCGTCAAATCAATTAGTTGATGACGCACCAACGACGACAAAAATGAATTATTCCCTTCCAATTTATTTTGTTGCATTTGTTCTGATAGTTTCGGCAAAGTATAGTAAAAATAATGCAAAAGAAAGTAAGAGACTTATATAGAAAGAAATTTCTCATAGTTCTAGAGTGACTATTTGTTTCTAGATGTTTCAGTGAGTAGTCGAACTGATTCCAATCTGTACTGTTCAACGTTTCCCAATGATTTAGCTATAATCAGTACTAAAACGTTAACGATCAACGTAAAAGTTAGCTGGGATTGTCGCATATCAAACCAGGGTATCATCAACAATGGAAATTGTGCTACAATTAATTATCGACAACAAGTTGATACCTTGTATCTCCACTGTTTACCTTTATACTTACCACAAATATTTTGTTTGAAAAATCTTCAATTACTCAATATCAGTGGATGCCATGAACAATGGGAAATACCGTTGGATATCGTTTCCATAACAAACTTAAAAAATCTTTCATTGGTTCAAATTCAACTTCATGATATGTCAAAAATAGTTCAGCTTCGATCACCATTAACCTATTTAGATTTGTCAAAAAATCAAATTACAACAATCTTATCAGAAATTACAACATTTTCAAAAACATTAACTCATTTAATACTTTCGGAAAATCGTTTACAAAACGTGCCCATAGAATTAGTTTCGATGGAAAAATTGGAATATTTAAATATAAAAAATAACTGGTTTACAGATGATGAAAAAGCAAGAATTAGAAATTTATTTGTGATTAATAAAAAAATTCAACTCATTTTATAAACATCCTGAATAATAAACATAAAATCTATTTGTAGAGTTGATAAATGGCGAAATTCTATTCCTTTTGCTTCTAGGATAAAAGAAGTCAATTAGTTGCTTACTATTACGATACCTATCTCACAATGTTTGCTGTCAGAAACGTAAGTTTAAGTTACAATATTTATGACTCATCTTACTCGCTCTTTGTCGATTTCGAAGAACGAATAATATTTGTTGAAATCATATCACGAAATAGCGATATTCATTTGCTCGACAAAAACAAATAAATCCCTTTTGTCCAGTTTGCATTGTGTACATCAAAGTGGTCAATTTCACGTTGAATTCTAGGATTATCCTTGTATCTTTCTCACATACCATGGCACTTCTATTGAACAACAAGAATAATATGAAGCGAATAGATAAAAAACTATATATATAATATATATATAGTTTTTTATCTATTCGCTTCATCAAAAAATATATATATATATTTTTTCATAATAATAGTATTTAAACTCAAGAATATTAAATACAGTTTTATTCAATAGAAAAATGCAAAAATTGTGAGTTTGCTGCAAATTCTTCTACATGGTGTTAAACTTTTGATATGCATGATGATCTTCGCCGGGAACCAAATAAACAAAATGTCATAATGTTATTCCAGCAGGCGCTTCCGTCCTATGATCTCCTTGAGTCGAATTGCCTCAAAAAAAATTTCAGGGCGTATTTTTGAATTTTGAATGATTATAAATGGAAAACAGTGAATTGAAGACAAAAAGATAGCGATTCCAGCCGAGGTAGAAAACATAAGAAACCATTTAAAAGAATGGATGATGGATATCGTACTGTGTGAAAACATAGAGAGCGTTTTGATGCAACAGATGAGTTCGCTTTATAGGAAAAATTCGAATATTTTTAGGGGTACAATTTGCCTCAAGCCTCTAGGGGGAAATGAAAGTCTCAATGTTCCTGAGCTTTACCTCTGTAGTACAGCTATATTGTCGAGTCGAGTAAACACATATGACTTTAGGCTTTTCAATTTTATTTTATTTTTACATTTCGTCGTTCTGTGACAGTATCACAGTAAAAAATAATCTCTTTAAAGCAAAATGCGCCGCAAACGAATGTGTTGCGGTCGACGTGTCGCAGTTACAAAGATTCTAAAGATGTAGCTTTAGCACACATGTTAAACCTTAGGAAGGAAACCACACCGCTCCTGCCTCTGTTTAGGCTTGAAACCTTTCTTTGGGACAAATGGAACTTAATTGTTCGTACTTTTTGCCATTGTCTAAGTTAATACAGTTTAACCTAGTCTTTATAACCAATCCGATCGCTGGTTACGCTTGCAAAATTATATCTGAATAGCTAAACTCTTTTGAGCCCGTTGCATATGACTAGTGGCGTAGCCAGGATTTTGTTAGTGGTTGGGCGTTGCCCAAAATCTTTTCAAAGTGGTAGACATTAGGACAGAGTAGTGTGAATTATAAAACTTTTAGTGGGTGGGCTGATTCCACCCCAGCCCACGCGGTAGCTATGCCACTAAATATCACAGGTAGATTCGTCGCATCAACATTATGTAGAGTGGGCAAAACAAGCTACAATTATTTTAAAAATAGAATAAGAGACGAAAAGTAGTAGTTCCCCACTACCTTCTATACCGTTAAAAGAATATGGCGTATATTCAGTTCAGTTCAGTTTATTTTGGCATAGCCATGGATACATGAAAAAAAACATTGCTAGTGCAAAAGTTTGTAGCAAAATAAAAACTGCGTTTGATTAAGAATCTAGGCAGATAACTTTGTCAACATACCCATAGAGGAAGGAGAGAAGATACAAGCAAAATCGTAAAATATATGTCGTAGTTTCAACGGAAAAATGTGTCGCTACTAGCACTCAGTGACGTACCCGAATAGATCGCGTTTTGAGATATTATTTTTTAGTGTGCATAGAGAGTTTTTGCATTTTAAGTTGCCTAAGCAGGATGATCTATGATTATCAAATCTTTTAGAAATAGCAAGAGTTTCGAGGTGCACTGTAAAAGAATACGGGATGTGGCGAAAGGGGTAGGGAATGCGCACCTTCCGACTTTTTAAAAAATGATGGTTTTTCTCCAGCAGATCTGATCTGGAAATTTTGTTTTATAAAGACTGACTCCCGTTAGACCTTCCCGAAATGCCTCCACATATGTACTCAGCAAGAGCACTTGAAAAATTTGCCGGCCATTCAATGAAAATACATGAAAATTTAGTAGTAACAGCAATGTATTCCGTACTGCCCCAAAGAATGGTTGTTAATTACAAAATAAATGTCGAATTAACTTTTTTTGAAATGTTTGCAGAAACTAGATGTAAATCACAGAAATTTGTCACTTTAGTAGGGATGATCGCTTTGCACATTTTGTGACTCTCGGATTAGTTCGCGGCTCCCTAGAAAGACTAGCAACCTGTCGACTCGCCAGTCCTTAGAATGTCCACGCCAAAAAAAGTAAGCTGAGAGTGTCACAACGCAAAGTAAAATGTGAAGAAACCTCTAGTTCTTTTATAACGAGTTCAGAAGATACATAATCTGAGAGACATTTTCTTCTACAATTCTTTAGCAAGGTGCGTGTCTTCAAAGTCAGACCCTGCTCACTGACTATTTCATTCCTCAATACGGATGTTTAAAATGTTTCAATCTGACACTTAAAACGTCAGGTTGGAACGGTTAAAAACTAAAATATGAAAGTAAAAAACAATTGATTGTTTATTAAACAGTTGTATATATAATCAAAACAAGACAAACTAATGTTCTGTATGTTCCATATATAATCTTGTAATGGCTGAATTTGATGCATAACAATTGATTCTAAAAACCAATCGGATAAAACATAATGAATATTGGACAAGACACTAAACCTTAATGTTACTTTATAGTTGTGTTTTTCCACTCGCAAGTTTGTTCATTTTTAAGGTATCTTGTTTTGAAAATATTGTTTATGCATGTTGTTTGTACATTCAACTTGAAATATTTGAAATACCATGTTTATTAAGCAATCCATGTCGAGCTATTCTTGATTTTTGAAAATCACAATGTATGAATGAATGAATCTGATCACCTTGAATCTCGTATAGTTTTTCATCGACGAGTTGGTGTTTTAAAACATTTGTCTATCCATAGATATGATATTACTGACAGACGTTATAAAAACAGCTTGAAATATTTTAGCTATTCATGAACAAGCGAGTTTTGTAGTATAATTTGTGATTTATAGTAAACAAAATACTACTCGATGATAGTTGTATATCGATACTTTCACTTGAAATCCATGAGAAAATGTAGTTGCAACCAAAATACGTCGACAAGTGTAGAAGCTGATTGTCACAACAGCTCAAGATGTAATATATACTTTTTGTCATTCAGTTAAATATGAGCCACAAATAAGAAACTTCCGCTGATCACTTTTTCGCCCTCGATGTTTGTTGTTAAATGGAATCTTCTGGTATATTCGTCACAGCTGCATAAGTCTAGAAGAAACAACAGATACTTCCAATTCTGCCCGTCTGCCGCAATGTGACTTCCATAGTCAAAATTATTTTCAGTTTCTTCGTCCTCCACTGCTGATTCATTATGCTTTCAGCATTTAACTTCAGATAGCACTCGTTGTTATTGTTGTTGCTTCAACACACTGTTATATCATCGATGATTACGATGATTAAGAGATTTTTCTTTCGATTCATTCATCATGTCTTTTTGGACTAGATTTTTTAACTGATTTCGAATTTTGGAATGTTTGTCCAATAAACGTTACCATTGATTATATGCAGTCTATAATAAAAAAAGAAAGATTAACCTAAAAGCTACAACTAGCGTATACAATAGCTCACATCACTGAAAAATTGGATAATCGTTCGTAAACAGATATCAAGCAAAAAAAACGTACCTTCAGTTCCTGACTTATTGTATATTGTTTTTCTCTCAAATGTATTCTACAATAGTGATGTTTAAATTGACGCTTACTACAATTTCCATTTGAGTCCACCCCATTCGGTACTCTGTTTTGTATTAGGAATTATTCGTATTTCACCAGCTTTGAACGTGAAAAAACAGTCATTTTAGAACCTATTTTAGAGGAATCTAAACAACAAAAAGCGTTAGTTCGCCGTTTTAAACATACTGTGATCTTATCTAACAGAAAAGATCGAGTGCATTAGCGAAAACACACTATCCATTATTGTATTTGTATTGGTATGTATTGATGGTTTAACTTTGCTGGTAAGTTTTTAAATTTCATCACTAATTAATATATCGTTAATTTTAGGTAATGATTCTACACTTATAAGTACTAGAACAAAAAAAATTCTGTATTATTTTCGAAGTCACCTTTTGAACAAAAACATGATGAACACGTAGTTTTATATGAACATCTTAAATACTCATTAATGACAGCATGAGAGTATTTAGTATAATTAGTTACATGCATCATCAACTAGGCTATCATAAGAAATCATTTTAGTATCGCTAGCTTTTTGTTTCAGCGATCTTGTCACAGTTACTAGAGTACAAAAATTACATTTCTCAACAAATGGTACTTGAAAGAAACCTACAGAACGTGTAGTACGACACAGTATGTTTTTCTCTCAGGACTATGCGAAGATACCTGAAACTATTCTTACCATCATTATCATTAGTTGCCGTTGTTATTTGATGAGAAATAGTCTCATCTTCTTCTTCTGTTTGTATATTTTTACATATTGCTTTCTGTTGTTCGTTTCAATGAATTGAACATAGTTGGTTACAGTGTTGACGTGCTTTTTTGCAGTCTTTGGAACATATAACTTGCCATTTTTTCGATTTAGTATAAATATAACGATTTAGCAGACCTTGTTTAATATTTTCCGCTTTGGTGTGTTGATAGTTCTGAAGGATAGATTATTGTTAAATGTAACATAATATTGAGCAATATCGTCTGTTTTATGATTATTTGCATCTTTAGTAATCTCACTTTGTTGTTTCTTTTCATCTTCTAATTCTCCTTTAGACTG